ATGAACGTCCTTATTATATTCTTTAAGCGTGGTAAATATGATTTCAACAAATTTGAGGAACGATTGGAGGCAGGCTGGGTTTTTAATTACTCTAACTAGGTCATAAGGATCGGTGCTGTTTTCTCTGCAGATGCTTTCGTGGGTGTGTCTTGGGTTCATGTATTTCGGGCAGTGTTTCAAAATATGGTCTATTGATTGAATGTCGTCATTGTTACAGGGGCACTTGTCTGTTGTTTTTATTTTAAATTTGTGCAAATATTGTAAATGGAACCCATGGCCAGTTAAAAATTGCGTAAGGTGGAAGCTGGGCTTGATAGCTTGATTCAGTTGAGCTATTGCGTCGGTGGTTGGTAGAATTTTTCTTGTATGCGCGCCTGTTTCAGCTGAGGTGTAAATTTGGTTTGCTTCTATTTTGGATTTATCTTTAAGTTTTTGTTTTATGTGGCTCAACGGGACTTGTGAGTATGAAGATGATATGTGCAAAGCGGCGGCCGATTTGGCGGAGAGATCGGCAGCCTCATTTCCGTTAAGGCCCACGTGGGCTTTGACCCACACGAATACGACATTGCCATCCCTGTTCAATGTACGGATGGAGTCATGGATGTTGGTGACTATGGGGTGGGTGTTATTTCGGTTCCGTATAGCTGTAAGCCCAGATTGTGAGTCCGACAGTATGCCGATGTCTGAGATGTTATTGGCAAGACACCAGTTCAGCGCTTCATCTATCGCGCACAGCTCCGCCTGGAAAACTGTACACGTCGAATGCAGCTTGAACTTTTTGATTGTACAGTCTCCACCGGGACCGTACGCGACAAACGCGGCACCAACCTTATCATCACTGTGTCTACTGCCATCGGTGTATATTTTTGTAAAGCCAGGTGGTACTGATTGGGCTATTTCTTCACTATTAACTGCGGATGCAAACGCTAATGATATCCTGTCAGCTGGGTGTGCAAGCCGGGCTATGGGTGTTGGTTTTTCGAGCTTTGCGCCCTCTGGGAGCATGGTGGTAGTGCCGGTGAGTTTAATGTTTTCTATTTCAGCTATTTCATTTACTTTTATGTGGAGGGGGGTGAGTGAAGCCAGGGCTATTGAAGCCGTGGCTGAGATGGTGCGGAAACCTCTGAGAATGCGGATTGCGAACATACGCTGCGTGGAGGTTAGGCAGTCTCGGACCGTTTTGTATTTGGTCGAACCGCCCCAAATTCCAGCGGCGTACGTGACAATAGGCTGAATGACGTTTTCATAAATTATCCTCAAGTTTTCGGGTTGTATGCCCCAGGTCGGGCGCACAAACTTGCATATGGTCCTGTGTATTTTATTGGCTTTTTGTGTAATGTATCTGGCATGGTGGATGAATTTTAAGTTGCTATCGAGGATAACGCCTAGGAGTTTGATTTGCTTTACTATTTCGACTGGTTTATTTTCTATTGTTAATCGAATGTGTTTGGCTCTATTTGTAAATGGGATGGCTTTAGTTTTATCTGGTCCAAATGTCAGTTTTACGCTGTTGCCCCAGTTTATGATCTTTCTTAGTGCTGCGTTGGTGTTTAACTCTAGGCTTTGGATATTTTTATTGGCGGCGATTAGTATGACATCATCTGCGAACGCCTGAATGTAACATCCTTCAGGAAGGGACACCTCAAACAGGTCGTCCAGGATGATGTTCCAAAAGAGCGGTCCGAGTACTGACCCCTGGATGCATCCTCTGGTCATGGTTTTTTCTGCGGTGCTATCCACGTAATTCAGAGAGATATGTCTATTTTTGAGATAATCTTGTATTAGTACATATAAGTTCCTTGGACAACGTATAGTTTTGAGCCTCTTCAGTAAGATAGGCCACCATGCGTTGTCAAATGCGGCCTGAATATCCAAAGAGACGGCTATTACATGTTTTTTGCAACTTTTTTCTGTTTTAATTTTCCTGATGGCGGAGTAGAGTGCGTCTATTGTAGAAGTTTGTTGTTTGAAACCGAATTGAAGGGGGTTGTTTGAGTTGTTTACGTGGATGTGGTGGGAGAGGCGCTGAGCTATTAGCTTTTCCAGGAGCTTTCCGAAAACATTTATGAGCCCTATGGGTCTGTAGGATGAGATGCTGTTGTAGTTTTCTTTGCCGGGTTTAGGTAGTGCTATGACGTGGGCCACTTTCCACGACGTCGGAAAATGACCTATATCAAGGCAGCGGTTCAGGAGTGCGTTGATGAGAGCGGGGTAGGCTTTTATGACGCTACTGCATATGTCTGACGTGAGATGATCGGGGCCTGGTGCTTTTTTCGGGTTCATGTTTTTGATGCAATCTATGATTTCATCAAGGGTGAATTGTTTATCGTTACTGGTGTCTGGAGGGTTGTTAGAGGATGCTCGGATTATGGATTGGTTTATATTGTCTGTTGTGTCGTCCGGATAAAATTTGTTCATGAGTACGGTTGCTGTTTCTTTGCTATTGCTTGTGTGTATGCCGTCTGGTTTGCAGAGAATTGTCGGGGGAGTAGGAGGTGGGCCGGACTGGAGGAGGCGGTTTGTCAGGGACCAAACGTTCTCCTTGCCCTGCATCTCGCAAAAGTCCCTGAAGCTCTTCGTGGATTCCCTTGTCAGGGCTTCCACGTAAGAGGCTTTGGCTTCCTCTCTCTCTCTTAATATATTATCGATTGGCTTATTGCTACGCTTGAGGTCGGAAATTCGATGGTGGAGCTTTATGAGGTGTTTTTTGAGGTGTTCCAGTTCCTCATTCCACCACGGAATGCGTGTTTTGTATTTAGGTTTGGATTGGAGTGTTCTATTGCATGTTTTTTGAATGATGTGGGTGAATTCTTTAATTAAGTTATCTGTATCAATTGCGTTTAGCTGGTCTATGGATGTTGATTCTATTGGGCTACGTGACACTAGTTGCTTCAGTTCGGTGTTAAATTTATCCCAGTCGGCATTTTTAGTTGTGTACTTGAAAGTGGATTGTTTCTTCCTTTTGATTATTTTATTGCTTCTAAGTTCTATTATAAAGTCGATGGCGTTGTGCTGGGATGTGATGCAGGCATCTGGGTTAACTGCCCAACTGTGTATTAGATCTGCTATGTTTGCGGTGGTTATTGTAAGGTCTATTATTGAGGTTCTGAGTGTGCCATGGGTAACTGCTTCAAAAGTTGGAGCGCTTCCGGTGTTGCTAAGTGTAAGATCATTTGAGGCGATCAGACGCATGATGTCGTTTCCGCGTTTATTATTTTTAATCGATCCCCATTGTTGGTGCCATCCATTAAAATCACCTCCTATTACCACCTTGGAGTGTGGATGATGTTTAAGGAACAAGTCAAGTTTATCGAGCGTGCCATCTGCGTCTGTTTTGGGCTCTATGTAAATACTGACTATATATAGGTTAAATTTTTTAGATGAGAGGTAAATTATTGACAGGTTAGATGAAGAATAGTTGGTGATTCCAACAGTGGCTCCGAGGTCCGCCCTGACAAGGACTGCAGCCTTGACTCTGCCTGTGGTGTTAAATTGATAGGTATTTATGCCGGGTGTGGTTTTGATGGAGCCTGTGTTCGACGTATAAGGCTCAGCGATTAGTCCGATGTCATATTTATTGGCTGTGAAGTATTGAAGGTACTCATGTGTGGAGTTGTAACTGCGGTCTAGATTACTTTGCAAAAATCTTATTTGTTTGTTAAAGCTATTTTTGTTTTGATCGTTGGAGTTAGCAGCCATAGTCTATGTTGAATTTGACTTTTTCAGCAGCCGCTAACTTACGCGGACATGCAGCTGAGGTGGATGAGTGGTTTGTTGCATTTTTAAGATTAAATTTGGTGTTGTGATTTTTGCAATTATAACATAAGACGGACGTAGGGTTATTTTTATGGGGGCATTCGTTGTACAGATGGTCGGGGGCGGCGCAGTGGGAGCAGTTGGTTTGAGTGTTGCTACAGTGCTTTGAGGTGTCCGAACATTAAGCACTTAAAGCACTGTAGCAGCGGGATGTGCTCGGATACGTTTATCTTTTGATGTTCAATGTTTATTCTACCCTTCTCGATGCAGGTGTTAAATACATGAGGGGAGACGAGCAGTACAGCATTATATAGGGCGGGATGTTTATTGTTTGTCGTAAATTTAACTTTCATTTCAATATCGGTGTTACCTAGTTCGGGGTTTTGTTTTATAATGGTATCAATTAGTTCGTTTTTGTCTCTGTTTTTACTGATGCCTTTCAGAATGAGCATGGGCTTCAGTCTTTTAGGGACCTCTGCGTTCAACTCTGTCGAGCTTTGGATGGTGTTTATGGTGTCGTCTCTCTGTCGGCTATTTTCGAACTGTACCATGAGTCGTTTGTTTGATATCGGTATCACCTTTTCTGGTGCGAAGCCACTATTTTTGAAAGTTGAATTTCTCTGCCACTTATCTATTAGCTCAGCTTTAGATTTTACCGGGACTTTTGCGGTAATTATTAAGCTGGGCTTGGACTTCGGTTTCTTACGGGGTGGAGATGTTGAAGCGATTTGGGCATAAGTAGGTTGAGGGGGCTGAGGGGGTGCGGGGTTGGAGATGAGGCTTTCCCTAATGGTAGCTATCTCATGTTTGACACATTCTGATATTTTAGAGTGTAGGCTGTCCGTCAGTGCTTTTAGGTCTTCGCCTGAGACAAGGGGAGGTCTTTCGATCGAAGAAGTTCTATCTATGGTGGGGGACTGTGGTGTGCGGGCGTAAGATTCCAGGTTTAAACTAGTGAAGATATCTATTGCATTTTTAATCTCGGAAGCTGCCATAGAGATGAGTGATTTATTGCGTGAGGTAACGCACTTTCCCTCTGCGACCGCTGTGCATATCGCCGTCACGAGGCCGCATACTGTGCTGTTGAGTGTCGGCAGATCACTCACGTCGGCTGCAGTCGCAGGGAGAACGATCGGTTCCTTATTAGTAGTTTTTGTCTTCGGTTAGGTTAGGTTAGGTTAGGTTAGGTTAGGTTAGGTTAGGTTAGGTTAGGTTCTCAGGGCAGTTGCTGGACTGCTACTGGGCGCGTCCCCCGGGTGGCGGATAGGGGAATGCCACCACATTGGTGGTACCGGTCTTGACCGGCGCGGACCAAAACCAGCAGACATGGGCGTGCCTTTAGGGGTTTGTTAACCCCACGGCCTAAGGGAGCACACCCTGACAGAAAAGCGCGAGGTGGGACGGGTCCGGCGGGTGCTTAATTGCGCAGCCGGACATGCACCAGGGTGCACCCCCCCCTCAACTCGTAATCCCGGTTCCTGGTGTCGTTGATCACGTCTAGCGGCCGGGACTGGGAACGAGGGCCTTGGCTTTACCGCCCGGGCTGCGAGGAAGAAAACCTTTAAAAAATTACCCCAATCCTAAGCGGAGAAGCAGCGCGAGAGGATGCATGGCCGATGGGAAGATCGGTCCCTACTGCTTCCCCCGCTAGAGTACCGGCCGACACTCTTAGCGGGATACACCTAGGCTTATCCGCAGACAGGGGGCACTGTGCGGATGGACCCACCCTTCCCCTATACTCGTGGGACTTTATATGGATTTGAACTCAAATAAAAAAAAAGATGATGTGCCTGCGACGGGCGGAGGTAGTGTGCCAGTGGCTGGCGGAGTTGGCGTTCCTTTAATGGAAAATAAAAAAAAAGATGTGGCAGAGCCCGCGACGGGCGGAGGTAGTGTGCCTGTGACTGGCGGTTTTAGTGTTGGGGATACGTCCGTTTCGGATAAAAGGCCGGGTAACATCTATGGCCTCATCGCGCTTAAAAGTGCGAGAGTTATGTTGGAGAGACTTGAGTCGACGTCGAAGAGTTTGGGATCGCGGAGCGTGTCTGTGTCATCTCTGGCCGACTCAGACAGTAACATGTCTTTTGACTCGGCGACAGCGTACACAAGAAGGGAGGACCGGAAGAGGCCTCTGGAAACAGGCGACCTGTCCTTGTCCTCGGAGGAAGAAGGACGAATGTCGAAGGCCACGGTCAGGGCAAAGAAAGGGAGAGGAAGACCTCCCTCGTCGGGCCAGTATGTTGGACTCGCGGAAGCCAAGCGCATGTATAACGAGGCCAAGCGTGAAGAGCTGCGACTGCGGGCGGAGGAAGAGGTGTCTGATCAGGTCCTAGCGGTGCGTACGAGAGCGATTTCCCGGCTCTCGGGGGCTTCCTTTAACCCGAGCACGGAAACGGCGGAGTCGGCTTTAGTGAGTGACTTGCAGAGCCTTGTAAACGGCAGCTTAGAGGTGATAAATAAAGTCGCCACCAGGTCTTCAAACCTTAAGGGTGGCTTCGTCAAGGCCCTTAAGGAAGCTGCCAGTAACATAGCCATGGCAGTTCAAAGTCTTGCGGAAAGGACAGTGACCGAGGAGGTAGCTCAACTGAAGACGTATAATACTCGTTTAAAAAAGGAGATGGACGAGCTGAGAAGAGAGGTAAACACCCTCAAGGAAGAGAAGGAGAGGGCTACTCGTACGACAGTGGCTCATACGAAGGACACACCAGCAAGTTTCAGTGCTGATGAGCTGGTACGGTCTGTACTAGTGCAAGTGGGGACTATGGTGAACGCGCGCTTTGCGGCCTTGGAGTCGCGCCTTCTACCTGAGCAGCGGATACGCCCTCCCCTGGCGGCGGAGACGTCTCGTTTGGCGGATACGATAACGGAGCCATCTACGTCCACCTTGATGGCTCCAGCGAACCCTCATAAAGAAAAAGGGAAAGAGGGTCGCAAAAAGAAAAAGAAGAGTGTGGGCCAGGCAGCACCGTCTACCGAAGCTCAGCCACCTCAATCAGGCTCTTCCAACGTTCAAGAGCGTTGGTCTGAGGTGGTAAAGAAGAAGAAGAAGGGAACGAAAAATAAAAGGAAGACAGTCCCAGAGAAGGAAGACGCGCCAGCGCGTAAGGAGAAGGCGAAGATGCCCAGGCTCCGTCCGCCTCACTCGGCAGCAGTTTCCATCAAGCTGCAACCGGATGCGGAGGCGCGTGGTCTATCATACGCGGCGGTGCTGATGGAGTTCAAACGTCACGTGGACCTGTCCACCCTGGGCATCACGGACTTGAGGTTTAAGTTGGCAGCGACGGGTGCGAGAATGTTGGAGCTGCCCGGCGATAAGGGTGAGAAAGCCGATGCTCTGGCTCAGCGGCTGGAAGGTATAGTGGATCCGCAAGAGGTCAAGATCTCTAGGCCCACCAAATGCGCGGAGCTACGCGTGAGTGGTCTGGATGACTCAGTCACGCCGGAGGAGATAGCTTTGGCGGTCAGTCGTGCTGGCGGGTGCTCTTCCGTCAGCGTAAAAGTGGGCGAAGTTCGGCGTGGTAACAACGGGCTCGGTTCGGCGTGGGTTCGCTGTCCAGTTTTGGCAGCGAAGCCAATTTTGAAGGCCAGAAGACTGTTGGTGGGCTTTGTGTCGGCGTGGGTGGCGCTATTGAGCCACCGACCCCTTAGATGTTATCGTTGTCACGAGGTTGGCCACGTAGCTGCCAGCTGTAAGGGCACGATAGATAGGAGTGGACAATGCTTCCGGTGCGGAGAAGAGGGGCATACAATAAGCCAGTGCGAGAAAGTTCCTCGCTGCCCGGTTTGCGAAGCGGCTCATCTTCCTGCGGATCACTCGGTGGGGAGTGCAGCCTGTTCCAAGTCCAATGCGGGGAAAAAGAAGAAGGCTGGGAATAAGAGTTTTCCACGTAGAGAGCCAGAGGGCGGTCGACTTGGGGAAGTCGGCCGTCCAGAGAATCTGGCAGAGTAGCGTCCGCTAGTAAATTCCCGCACGCTACTCGGGCTGGCCGTCGGGGGGTGTCCCTTCACCCCTGGCATCTGAGACGGGCCAAGCGGCACTCGCCGTCGGGGCGCGGACGAATTTGGATACCCGTGCCCCGGCAGATAGGCGAGCGAAGAGGAACACCGTGTGGTTTTAGTGGGTAGGCTGCTGCGCTTCTCGCGGCAGGAGCCCCACATAACCCGTCCGCTTCCCCTTAAGCGGCGGGTACCCGGGAACAGGGTTTCCACACGTTAAAAAAAAAAAAAAAAAAAGGTTAGGTTAGGTTAGGTTAGGTTCTCAGGACCGGAGCAGCCAATGTTTCCGTTGTGGGCAAAGCGGGCACAGGCGCGAGCTGTGCACTGCCGCACCACACTGCCCGGTATGCGAGGGCGTCAAGAGGCCAGCGAACCACATCGTCGGTAGCGCAGCATGTACTCGAGCCCCGGCTCGGAAGAAGAAGGTGGCCAAAGCTGTGGCTAGTGCGCCCAAGCCGCTGACGGAGGGAGAAACTATGGACCAACAATAACGATGGCCCTTAAAGTTCTACAGACGAACTTAAACCACTGCGCTAGAGCACAGGACCTGTTTGTTCAGAGCCTGGTACAGTGGTCCGTACAAGTGGCGGTCGCGGCGGAGCCGTATTGGGTTCCCCCGCGTGACAATTGGGCGGGAGACAACGACGGGTTGGTGGCCATTGTTTCCCAGGTCGCCGCGGGCTCTCCACCCTTTACTCGTGTCGTGAGGGGCTCGGGTTGCGTTGCGGCACTGCTGGGGGACACGGCGGTAGTCGGGGTCTACTTCTCCCCCAACCGATCCGTCGCAGAGTTCGAGGAGTTCCTGGATGAGGTGACGGAGCTCTGTCGGACCCTCCAGGCCAGAAATCTCCTCATCGCGGGGGATCTCAATGCGAAGTCCAGTATGTGGGGCTCATCGACAGCGAACGCTCGGGGCAGGCTGGTAGAAGAGTGGGTTGTCACCACTAACTTGACTATCCTCAACCGGGGGACGGCCAACACGTGCGTGCGACGGCAGGGCGGGTCCATCGTGGACGTAACGCTCGCGAGCCCGGCCTTAGCGCGCCGTGTTCAGGACTGGCGAGTGCTGGGTGATGTGGAGACTCTCTCGGACCATCTCTACATCCAGTTTGAGATCTCCACTCATCCGGCGGTGCCGCCAAGACCTAACCGGACCCTGAGGGAGGAAAGTCCGAGGTGGCAGCTGAAGCGCCTCAAACCAGAGCTGTTGAAGGAGGCGGCGATTATAGCCTCCTGGCTGCCTCAACATGTCGCGTCACCAGAGGAGGCATCACAGCGCATGGAAGAGCTGGTGAAACGTATCTGCGATGCATCAATGCCTCGGTCCGGAGTGTGCCCTCCAAGGCAGCAAGTATGGTGGTGGACTGCAGAAATAGCGCAACTCCGTCAGGACTGCGTTGCTGCCAGACGCGTATTCTCCCATTATAGAAGAAGGGTGCATCGGGATCGAGCAGAGGAGGAGAGTCGGTATGCCAGCTACGTGGAGGCAAAGACTCGCCTTTGTGCCCAGATCGCCAGGGCCATAGCGGAGGGAAGGGCCGAAATGTTAGAGGGAATCGATGGAGATCCCTGGGGCACACCGTATAGGTTGGTCATGGGCAAGCTTCGCCCCAGGGCCCCTCCAATTACTGAAACGCTCGACAGGGAGGTACTTCAGAGTGTGCTGGAGAGTCTGTTTCCACACCAGCAAAACTTTGTGCCGCCGCGGATGGCTCCAAGCATAGTGGCTGACGATGACGAAGGGCAGGAGGACGTGCCAGAGATCGACGAGGAGGAGATAGCAGCTGCGGTCTTGCGACTGCGGGGAAAATCCGTTGCCCCCGGGTTGGACGGAATACCAGGCCGCGCCCTAGCCTTGGCCATGGACGCTTTAGGGCCTTGTGTGAGGGGACTTTTCACTGCCTGTCTGGCTCAGGCCATAATTCCACAGAGGTGGAAGACAGGCAGGCTAGTCCTCCTCAGAAAGGAAGGGCGTCCAGCGGAGTCCCCCTCTGCCTAC